CCCCAAAATGACCCCCCACTACTACATCAGGCAAACTAGGTTCTATTTTTTGTATCCTTTAGGGTTTAGGGTTTAGGGTTTAGGGTTTGGGAAACTAGGTTCTATTTTTTGTATCCTTTAGGGGGTCTGGGTTCTTGTTGCCAGTGACGAAGCTGTTTTGCAATTATGCTCGCACGCTGGGATTTTGTCTGGAGCTTCACATGGGAATGAGGAATGGCGACTATGCCCCAGAAGAATGCATAGTCCCTGTTTTCGGCACTTCCAAAATGGGACCCCAAATTCCAGTGATATTGTTTATATATGTATGCATGAATGTATGTATGTACGTATGCATGAATGTATGCATGAGTGTATGCATGAATGTATGCATTTTTTGGATGTATGTATGAGTGTATGATAATTTCTCAACATGATCTATACTCTAAACTCCTAGCTTGCCCATTAACGATGAGCCCTCATATGGTCCTCTTTCCAACAAGCCTCAGGAATTTAGACTACAATTCATATAGGCACGAGGGTGCCTTTATCAAGGCTAGGAACCTGCGGGGAGTAGTTTTAGCGTTCAGGGTTTGGGGGCACAAACGCTGTGTTGGGAAAGTCGCTCCCCTAAGCGTAGTAGGCAGGACTGGCTGGAATTCAAAGGCTGGCTAACTTACTGGTTCTTATATGGGCTTTAGGGTTTCGGGAACATGGGCATATAATTCCCATATGACCTCTTCATAATGCATCCCATTGACCGTTACTCACTACTAAGCCCTAAACCCTAAACCCTACATAATCGATTCCCTTCCTCCCTACTAAGAACCAGTAAGCCTAGGATTTGGAACTTGTGGCGTTCAGGGCTTTTGCCACTTGCACGGCTCCAAGCTGTTTGGGTCCTGATGACAGTAGGGCTCAGGATTTAGGGCTTGATGACAGTAAACACTGATACCTTCGTGCACCAGAGCGGCTGTGCCAAGATGACGAAGCGTCAGGATTAGCAGAAAAAGGGCGCAGTGCTGAAATGCAAGATGCAAATAGATATGCAATGTCAGAAAAGATCGGCCATATGGATTCATGCAGCACCTGCCTTGCGGCAGCCCATATGCAGGCATGGCCCATCAAGAATCCTGCCCGTCTGACCACTGGTAAGGCCAAGCAGAAGTGTGTACCTCTTCCCACTTGCTGTTGTAGATTGATATGTGGAACTGGGAGGGAGATTCCTCATTGTTCTCCATCAAGGTCTCAACTTGCAGCACGACGGTCATGTTCTGACGGCAGCGCACATTGACAGCAGGAAATTTTGTCTTAATCCGTTTCGCATCTTGCTTCAGCTTATTCTCTAACTGTGCCTGGTTCGTGATGCTGAAACATTCGCGCTGCGTCTCTGCTGGTATGATCACCAAACCACGTTCTTCCGCAGCAATCACAATGTCATTGTTTGTGCTTTTCTCCAACTTTCGCATCCGCGAGAAAGGCCCCACCCAAGTGGTTCCCTCTTCTGCTTCCCACTCCATAAGCTCGACCGCAAAAGCAGCTGTAAAATTGAGGGCTGCGGTGTCCAAAGACAGAAACGATAATATGGATCCTCTGCCTCCCATGTGTCCAAACTCACTTAGCAAGACCAAAGAATGGGTGTCCAGAAACAATGCATCCCTGTTGTGTTCATTTACACCATCTGGCAATCGCGTTGTGCCCAGAAGGGTTGGCCTACGGGCTAGAGACACGTCAAAATTCACCATCCATTTTGGGGTAAGGATGTCATCCACGGCAACCAACAGGCTGCCACCATTCCATGCAAAAGCATCGATCGCCTTTGACGAGCGGGAACTCTGCCCACGCAGATCATGCAACACTTCTTGGGTGCCCGCCTGCAGATCTACAAAATCTACCCTGTCCGTGAAACCAAGTAAAACACGGCCATCTGCGAAGCCATGAAGTGCCGTCGGTGGCAAGCCATCGAACACCAAGTCCACACGCGCCACTTCGCGAAAGTTAGCTGTACCGACCTCAAAAGCGAAGAGCACAAAGGGCTTGTGTCTGTCCCCGTGATCGATCAGAAACGCGATGCCATCACTGTCCTGGCTGGATTCTCAAAAGCGCAGAAAAATCTCCAGATCCCCCTTTCGGAACAAAATCCAGGATCAGCAAAGGTGAATGCACATCAGCTATAGTCTAAACTCCTAGTATGACCCTTCATAGCCCATATAATAATCCCCTATATAATCCCCTATACAACCCCCTTTGAAGAGTTCAGACCGTAGCTCAAATGGACATACAAGCATCTGCCGCCAGAGCAAAGAGCGTTGGCCTGGGCCACGGGGACGTCATTCGCAGAAGCTTTCGGGAAGCCTCCGGGGCAAAACCTTTGTCCCCAAATCCTAAACACCCTACACCCCCAAACCCTCAACCCTAATCCCTGAACCCTAATTAATCCCAAAACCCTCAACCCTCATCCCTAAACCCTAATCCCTAAACCCTAAACCCTAAAACCCAAAACCCTCAACCCACTTAGGGTCCTCTGGGCCAACCAGGGACTCCAGTGGATCTCCCACAGGGGATCCCGTCGAGCTCTCGAAGCAGAAGATCTTGCTGCCTGGAGGGGGCACGGGATGGGATCTCTAGGGTTTAGGATTTCGCGTTTAGGGTCTAGGGTTTAGGGTTTAAGGTTTAAGGTTTTTAGGGTTTAGGATTTAGGGTCTAGGGTTTAGGGATTAGGGTTTAGGGTTTGAGGTCTTGGGGGTAAGACTCTAGGGTTTAGTGACTAGGGTGTAAAGTTTTGCGGTCTTGGGGGTTATCGTATAATGTTTAGAGTATAGGATTTAGGGGTAAAAGGTTCAGGGGTTAGGGTATAGGGTTCAGGGCTTGGGGTGTAGGATACGGATACACCTATGTTTCCCTTGTTGTATACTGGTACTAAGTTTGGAATATTTGTCTTTGGGGTAGGGATAATGGCACTGATCCACTCTCCAAGAATTAGCCTAACAGTTGCCTCCCTCATATATTATAAACTCACGCCTCTTTTAGGACTCAGGGTGGAAGAGATCTTGCACGACCTTATCTATGCTAGGCCCCAAAATGATACCACCATTAAAGTGGGGATGCAACCTAGGCCTCAAAATGTTACCAGTATGAAATACAAGATGGTGGATGGAGGAATGTATTTTTGGCAGGAGGGGTAACAATGATCTAAAATCTTCAGCTCTGCAAGACTTGCCCCATCCGTCATGCAAACACCAAGGAGTTTTTTCGACTCTCCTCCGTCCGTGAGCTGCTGGGCACAAAGCCTGGGCTGGCGTTGTGGAATTTATGAAAAGCGTCCCTTGTTGAGTGGTTTAGTACCGTTGAAGGTAAAGAATAAAGTGCGTACGGTATGAAGGTGGGAATTTACATCCCCACCATACAGGAACCTCAAGACCCCAACTAGCCTTGAGAAGACTTCATGGTAGCCGAGGAGCAGGGGAGGCGCGTGGAAGGATGTCGTGTCCGTCTTGTTCATGGAGCATTGCTGTTCCCCCGCACGTTCCTGACATGTGTCAGAGGAACTCGCATCCTTAAGCGAGCTTTGCAGCACCAGAAGAAGGAGCACCACGGAGGCAGCCATGGCAGGAATTAAGAATGGGCTTCTGGGCGGAGAGACCTGCTAAGTCTCCTCTTGCGAAGTTACTGCCGCTGACCCTGGGGTTCAGTCCATGTCCTGAAACCTGTTGTCAGAGTCCTGGATCTCCTGGCGCTTTCATGCCGCCGTTACTTTCGTGACACTATCCAGTTTTATAGTTTGCTTTTTGGATAATACTCTTGAGCAACACCAAGAGATGCGCTCTACTTCAAGGCACGGACAGTAAAGGGCCAGAACCTATAGAGTGATTTCATCACCAGTGAACCGCACCCACAACCACAGCCGCCACAACTCTCACCCTCCTTCTGCAAGCTGTTGCTCACGATCCTATTTCTTTGAATGCATGTCAAACCTTGTTATGCAAAAAACGATCGCGAGTACTTCCGTTGCTGTAACCTCAGCACGGTCACCTCTGCCTGTGGCAACGGCGCGAAGAAAGGTCATCAGCGAAGCAGCAACGCCTTTGAGTGCGAAGTCATTTTGTCAGGAATGCGGGAGCAGTGCGTCGACAGTACACAAAAATGGTAGTCTACATTAATGGGGAGCCCCAATGTAAACCCAAAAATACGATAATCCTCAGTACAGGGCGTCCCAAAAAAATGGAAGGCGCAATTTTTGGAAACTCTAGACAATTTTTTTTGCTGGAAACACTACACCCTAAACTCTATATGTCCCCACATAACCCCTACAAAGCCCTTGAAAGGAACCCCTAATTGTCGGAACCCCCCCCCCCATTCCTGAAACAGTGCAGAGAGCAGGGCCTGAACCTTCCTAGGGTTTAAGGCTTGGGGTTTGGGGTTTAGGGTTTAGGGCTGTAGAGGGTTTAGGGTTCGGGGTTGCGAGAGTTGGATGTCGGGCCTCTCTTCCTTCATGGAGCCAATCTAAACCCCGAGGCTTCATGAAGCGCCCGCAGAAACTCAGTCGCATAAAAGAAACAACGGAACGTCAGTGCGGATTATCTTCCCCAGAACCCACATGGAAGCCCGAAAGGGATAGAGGCTTCTATCCTTGAAAGAGGGCTCGATAGGGTTCTTTGTTAGCTTGCGGGAGGGTACCAGGATTGCCCCCAAATGCAAAACCCTGAAGTTTTGGGTTTAGAGTCCCCCTTCAGTAGATCGGGGTATACTAGGGTCATATTGGGCCAATGGCAAAGACATGGAAACGGAACACTGAGCCTCCAACGCATCACGCCAGATCTTCTAAACACTGCAACTCCTGAGGGGTGTTGCAGCACTACGGGTCAAGACCAACTGCGAAACTCATTAAGAGTCCTGTTTCTTCAGGAAAGAAACCCTCAACCAAGTATGCCTAGGATTTTTAGGGTCTAGGATACTTATGACTCCCATAAGCCTAATGATAGACCCAGATATTCTCAATTATTCATTATTCGCCTAGTTCCGAGGTACCCCGGCCCCTCCAAGCCCCACCGCCACGCCACCCCATACATGCAAGCCAACTATTCATGTGTTGGGTCTAATGGGTTTAGGGACTAGCTAGGGTTTAGGGTTTAGGGTCTACTGAGTTTCGGGTTTAGGGTCTAATGGGTTTCGGGTTTAGGGTCTAATGGTTTCGGGTTTAGGGTTTAGGGTGCTACAAAGATGGGGTCGGCCCATCCATCAGAATTTTCACTTGGTAAAAAAAGGCCCCGGCCTCTGTACCCTAAACCCTACAGTGAAGCCCACACTCTCAACCTGAACCAGAACCCCCTACCCGTTCAAAAATGCACACTCCCCGAACAGACACAGAACTGAAACAGGCAAGGACTACAACCCTCTGAACGCGGATGTGACCTGGAACGTCCACAAACGGAGGTTACATTTAAAATGAAACAATCCTCATGATAGGACTCCCAATAAGGTACAACTTGTCCGAAACCTTCCCGAAGGGCTTTCCATAGTTGTCGTTTCAATTGGCGCAAGCAAGCTTTGCAAGAACTTCGGAGAACCCAGCTAACCGTTATATTGCTGAAGGGTTAATAGCAGTTCAGGGAAGGGAGACCAAAACAAGAAGAAGAAATCAGAGCTACCTAGCAGTCAGAGGTGAGCCCTAGGCCCCCAAACCGCAAACCCCAAGCGAAACCCTCCCTGAACCCTAAACCCTCCCTACACCCTAAACCCTCTGCACCCTAAACCCTACACCCTAAACCCTAGACTAATCTGGGACTCAGGCCCCCTTGTAAGGCACCCCGAAGGGCAAGTCCTGGAGTAAGACAGATGAGTAGTACTTTTGGGTTAAGGGAATAGGGCTTAGGGTTTAGGGTTTTGGGATATTACAGCCCACCCTGTATATTTTACCCAATATAATGGAGAAACAATCTGCAGAGAAAATTGAAACTGTCAGTACATAGTGAATTATAGATATAATTGTGGTGGGTGAACGAGGGAAGATTATACTCATCTTGTTAAAAACACTAGCCCCAAAAGCAGGATGTCATCTTGCTCGATATTGAGAAGCTACCATAATCTCCGTAATTGACGGCATCATCCCAATTCCTGTTGAATTTCCATTTTCGTTGCCATGTGGTTCTACATTATAGTAGGTATATATGGAGGTTTCCCAAGAATAGGGGTACCTGGTTGGGGTCCCCATGATAAGGATTCAAGCTTTTTGTGTTGCCCTACTCTGGGAAACTACCATATCTGTATAGATCCCCGACTGATATCCCCTTGCCTTATAATACTCAGATGGCAAGTATTCAGTCCAGGGTGTGGGCCTCAGACTTCGGGGCTCAGTATTCAGGGTTAAGGGGTTTGGGGTGTAGGATTCAGGGTTTAGCGTCTAGACTTCAGGGTTTAGAGTCTAGAGTTCAGGATTGAAGGTTTCGGGGTGTGGGGTTTACGGAGGGGATGCTCTAGCTGCCTAGCTTCTGGCGGTTTAGGGTTTAAGTCTAGGGTTTAGGGCCAAGCTCAACCACTCCAGCTATTCTCATGCAGGTGTTGCCGCACACCCTGGGCCATAAATAACCTCTAATCTCCTCCCCTAATGACAAAAGCCCCCCACCCTATTATAACCAATAGATACCATGCCGCGGGCGTCAATGATTTGTGGGGAGGGAAGTAAATTCGGAGTAAACCCTAAAGCTCACATCCTGAATCCACTAAAGGCGCTTTTTCCTTGCCCGTGACAGGCCGTCCGGGTGCTCTTGCCGCTTCTAGTAGACACGTTCACTGTCCTCCACGCTACCTCAGAAGTCTTCGGCTTAATCCCCTCCCCCCAACATTTTACCCCCTTTACACATATTGAAACATAACACAATGGGAGTATTTAATATTAGGGCGGTCGGGGAAAACCCTTTTTGCTAAACCCTGAACCCTAACCCTAAACAGGGAGTGGGTGAAGTTTGAGTGGGCTTTGCTTTCAGAGCTCAGGCTTGCGTGGGGATTGAAGGTACGAGGGTTTGGGTCTCAAGCCTTGGTGTTTACAGCTTTAGCCAGGGCTTGGTGCCTTCTTTTGGGCCTTTATATCAGGGATACGTAGGGGTTATATAGGGGATATATAAGGCTTTAGAGTTTGGCTTTTAGGGTTTAAGGTTTAAGGTGTTGGGGGGGTGGCCTACGAAACCCTGGCTGCTGCCTAAAGATGGTACTGACAGATGTGCTGAGAAGGATCCGCGTAGCGATCAGGAAAGAGATGCGATTACTGCAAAACTGCAAGAAAGGCAATGACGTATGTCGGTCATAATGATGGTGACACTTGTAACACCTACCCATGGAGCTTGTTAAACACTTATAAATACTATATAACCCCTATATTTGCCCCCTATGACCCCTATATGCAAGGATATATAGGGGTGAAAGCCAACGATGCAAGCAAGGATCTCACAGACACATCTTTGTAGTTCGCAAGTGCTGTCTCATCGGGATCCCTCTTTGTCTCATGACCTGAGAAAACATATCGACGATGCTTGGTGGCATTGTCTGTAGCATGTTCGACCACGTTGAATGTCAGGTGGGCCGAGAGCTTTTGAGAACGCTTCATCCATTGATCCTTGGGAAGTATCCAGACTATGCCATTGACATGCCGCGATATGAACTTCACGCCACCGTAGCCTGGCAGGGCTCTTACAAGAATTCAAAAATATGTGGAAATTATCCTGAGGGGTCCCTTCTTCCATTCCTGACTAGCAGGAGGCTACCCTAGCCTGTCCATGGCACGAGATCATATGGATTCTCAATGCGGAGTCCGCCCTGGGGCAGCACCTTACTCTTCATGTCTGCCACAAAGGCTTTGTTGCCGGGAACTGGGGCACCAATGGAAACTGCATACACAGTATTGGGGCCCACAGAACTTGAGCTTGCGATTCTCTGAGACGCCATAGCAGCCATGGCACCGCCTAAGCTGTGGCCAACGCAAATACACCATTTCCAAACACCACTGGTGACAAAGTCCTCCAAGGACTGGATGTGGCTAGGGATGCCCCATGATCCCCATGCGTTGTAGAGGGTGGCAACCTTTCGGCCAACCTGGGACATCTTCTGGAAGATGCTGTCAACATGCCAACCGAAGCCTTTGTGCACTTTGACACCACTGTCCGAGCTAAGTCTCGTGGGCAAAAAATTGAAGTTCCTTTTCCAGTCGAGGCCATTTGTGGATCCCTTGAAGCTTAAGATCAAGCCAATCCCTCCGTCTGAAAGCTTCACCATGTATACCAGCACGTAAGGGCTGGTATCCTCTTCTCCAAGCCTCTCACCATAAGGAACTCCGCGCTTTCCGGCTGCTTTTAGCTTTGCGACATGGTCTCTGTACTCTCTAGCCTCCACACCCCTGACTGCCAGCTGGATGACACTGATTGGTCCCCCTTCTTTCCTGGGATACTCTTGACTTGACGTACTATGACAAAAATCGTCTTTGGTTCTGTATCAGGCTTGACGAAGCGCAGGAGTCTAACAGAATCTTTCCAACAACCACCCAGCTTCGGCGTCAGCAAGTCAACACGACCAGTAGAACCTGCAACGCTGGTGTGGCCAAAGTCAACAATTGAAACCTGACCCTGGGATGCCTATATGAGCTATAGTCTAA